AAGATATATCAGTTCAGAACATACTTCGTTTTAATGCTTCTGTCTCGTTTTAAGAAAAATTAATATTGTTTTAGCAATGACTGATTAAGATGATAATATTAAGTGTGAAACGACTTAAATGTGACTTATTCCAAAAATAAAGCATTATTATTACTGCAGTTGTTAAGGGGCCACTATAGGAGTGATTTTTGAAATTGATCATCACAAAATTTCCCTTACTACAAATGTCACATGAATAAATTATAATGCATAGCTGACCTTACTTTTGAAGATCTATTTTGAGAAGTTTGAATCTCTTAGTTTCCTGCCAGGGAACATTCTCTAGTGTAAATCCTGGTAACAGATAATCACACTTAAGTACAAAACCTGAATAGGACAACTCAGGATATGCTTTTTTTAAAATCTTCCGTAAAAACTTTGGCTTTATTTGGATAATGAATAGTGTTGAGATTTTGTGACAAACAACCGGAACTCGTAGACTCCCCACATAATAGCTTCTCTGCTTGTTCTTCTATTTGAAATAATACCATCTTAACCGCAAAAATGTTACTATTATGTATGGAAGGGAGAGAACTCTTGTCAAACATGCAATGCTGCTTCTACAAGATTACATTTCAAATCAACTGGAAGGCTTTGAAATGTCACTTTGTGTTTAATTACTTTTGAAATTAGATCTCACGAAATAAAGTGAACTGGCCAACTGACATGTACGTCTTAAAGTGCAAATAAATTAGACTGGCAATAAATTTCAATAACGTAGTTCCATATATAGTGTTTAGAGAAGTTGTATGTCTGCCTGCAGATAAAACAGGTCGATCATGCAGCGCCAGGGTGTTGTGTTATAACTAAAAGACTTTACTTTTTTTCATCTCCCCCACATTCAGAAGTATTATTTCACACAATGAAACCTGACGCATTGGTTTCTCTAAACATGGTCATATTCAAAGGTGTTTTTTGGGGCCCGTTGCTAGGTGGAGATTTGATATGGAGTTTAAAATATGTAAGCATGAAAGGAATCACAGCTGACAATATGTGATGCCTTGGTTTGTGTCTTTATAAGGCCACCTTGGTGACTTGACTTTTTAACTGAAAGTTTATTTGTGGTGACAGTTTGGGTTAGTGTTTGGGAGTGCATTAGTGGAAAATGTAAGTCAAACTGATTTCTGATAGCGAGCTTTGGAAGTGATTAATTATATATCAATTCATTCTCAGGTTATCAAGTAAGCTTCTATCGACATTGGTAAAAAGAGGACAAACTAATGTCAGGATCACCTGGGTTTTTTTTTTCTCTCATCAGAATACTTCAAGAAATTATCTTGTATTTAAAAAAATCAATTTTTTTATTGTTTTTGATAGAAATTTTTAAAAATTGTTTTGATCAATAGAAAATTATTTATAGCATTGTTAACATATGCAATTTTACTTTGTTGTTTTTAATGACAAATCTGAATATCAAGTTTATTCACTATCACAAACAACACTTTGTACTTCTTTTTAACCACAAATATGTAGACATTTTGTAACTACTTGTCTCACTGACGTTCTAGCTTCGCAGGTGAGACTTTGACGTTGTAGCTTCGCAGGTGAAACCTGAAAGTGATATGTCAGCTCTGGTTTTAAAAAAATAGAGTTTAGTTCAACTAGATTGTTTTTTAAGTAAGATGACTTACAATAACCTTACAAATAATTTTTTAATAAATATTTTTTTTGTTCCAATTATCTTCTGGGTAGATTAGGATACATGTTGGTTTAGTTTAAGTAACATCCAGACATCAAGACAGCTGTGCATGTCATTTTAAAATAATGTAACAGCTGCTTTCATAAACATCAAAATAGATTTCAGACATAATAAAAGGTCGTTATTATGATTAACATCCCTGTCTGAAATAAACTTACCGTAATATTCGACTTGTGTGTTGCCACCTGCATCTAGGTCCATGTCTGAAATAAACTTACCGTAATATTCGACTTGTGTGTTGTCACTTGTATCTTGACTTAAATCATAACACATCAGTAAATTTATTTTTAGTATCTTTTCATTCCAATACTTGAACCACTTGGGGTGTTTATTGTTTAAATACAGTAAGCAATATAGATTTGATCACCAACAGATGTTTATAGATTTTATGATTTAATATGATACAATCTTTTTTACAAGAAGTATCATCATCTTCAATATGTTGTACAAGATTTCTATCTATTTATAATCAAACGTACAATCAGAAGTTGTTGTGTTATGTACTTGCCCGCCTCTAACTTGTATAAAAGTCGGAGTATTAAGGATGTGATTAAAAAACGTCTTATTGGAGATAATTAATTCCATGTAACAATCTCAACGTCCTGAGGGAAGACACTACATATATGAGTCACATTTACAAACCGTGTCTCAGCCATTAAACCAACATCTATGTTTTCATGTTTGTGACAAATTTCGTACATAAAACACGGTATCGTTTGTCATCTGTCAACTATAAAATAGCATGTAAAATCAGATTTCATCTTCAAGGGATATTAAACTTTATTTCATCATGAGCAAACACAACATCTTAAAGGAGATACAGTTCGTTCTACCGTTTTTTTTCCTCTCACTTTAAAATCTACCATATCTTTTCAAGCTCGACTAGTTTTGATAAACGAGGCCATCCTCTCTTTTATAAATCAGATTGAAGTGTACATTGATCTTGTGTCAAGGAAGTGCTGCAATTTTCAAAAGAGGATTTTCAGTTCAGTTAAAAAAAACCACTGCCTGGAATACAAAGATTAGTATGGGCGTATGTGCATTTCATCATTTTTCTATTTAATCAATATTCTATAGGGTATTACAGTTTAACATCAACTGAACTTTTTCAATAAAAGATTTTAAATCAGTTTTCCTTCCACGTTTCAACTCTAAGTTTATCCATATCAATATACATATGAAGCTACATAAACTCACGATGTCATTTAAGGATATTTTAAACAGGTGATGTTTTGATTGGATGGTAGCCTACATTTCATCCTCCATTAAAAGTCTTATCTCCATTTCGTTTTCTCATATTTGTCATAATTGACTGTTCTATTATAAATAAAAATTGTATCTGATGTGAGTTTTCGATATAGAGGTATTTTTCCAGCTATTTCAAGCTATATTTCTAAAGAGAGGTAATTTTCCAGACGCATCAGTTTTGAAAGAAGTGTCTGATAGTGTCATATCAGCTGACTGTGAACATGAATGGCCGTTTAAAAAGTCTGTGACCCAAGGCTAGGTAAATGTCTGTATGAGAAAGATTTGACCCAGTTTTAGTTTTTCATTGAGATTATGTGTCGGGGTGTGTGTGGTATTTTAGGAGTGGACACTGAGTGGGACAAGTCTATGTAAATACCAACAGAAATTCTAATTTACTATTGGACAATATCTCTAGTACTTGTATTATATTACAGAGGCAGAAACTGTGACAAATTTTGTCTGTGTTTAGGGTAGTGTGTACATTTATGACTGGGACTGTGTCAAATTCCAGAGTATACAGAAACATCTAAGATCACATATCGCCCAACAATCAGTTGTTCTGTGATGCAATAATCTAGAGGATTTCTTTCTTCTGTCATTCAGGAAAATATACGCAACAACAGCTTTTCTCAAAATACCTGTGATTTAATTTATAAATGCCTTTGTAATTATTTTGTGAAAGTCTTTTGTTAGGATGCAGATATTTGTGAAATTGTTGATAACTTTTCACCTTGGGCCTACTAACGTAGTTTACTAAAACTTGTTTGAATACATATCATATTTTGTCCCCCAAAAAACTTGGCTGTATGCATAGGTTGTTTATCTGAGGTAACTTTAGACAGAGGACAAAAAACATATCTTAAGTTCTCTGTGAAATATACTCATATGCTTTTAAAATGTAAAACAACATTTTATTAATTTGTACAGAAATTGATACCTGGAATTTTTCCTTGCCTGGCACTAATATGTGTTTGGCATGTTGGAGTTATGCCCCTTTGGTCACCAGAGTGTGCTATGTTCTTTTATCTGTTTAACAAAGAATGACGCATTGTACTAGCTAAATCTTCCTTACTAATGATAGAATATTAGATGTTTATGTTCAGTGATTAATAATGTTAATTAATTACTGTTAATTAATAAAATATGTCTCTATATTTCTTCTTTTCTATCATAGAAACATTGACTCTAGCTCCCTCTATAGTCAGCGAAACAAAGTTCATCCCTTTCTGTTCCTCACACAAAGTCATCATCTCTGTTATTGATGAGAATTCCATAATCTTCTCGATAAGCAATACAAATTCATTTTCTCTCTTAATGATGTAAAGCTAGTCTTCTGTTTAGTGAAATATAACCCCTACCCAACTCCTCTTAAACCAGTCATTAAGGAATAGTCTATTGACCTGTCTATTAGTGGTACAGTTGCCATCCACTTCAATGTTAGTCACACAATGTCCCTTTTCTTTTCTGTTTTCTTTTATTTATAACCCATCATCTTCTCTGTTAGAGATACCATCCTGAGATGTCTTCTTCATCAGTGTATGTTCTAGATCTGTGAATTGATTGAAGAAACTAGGATACAAATTTTAATTGCATACTTGCCGGTCCTTTTGTTTTAGAAGACTGCTGGCCTTCTTTCACTAATTGTGGATTGAATTATCTGTAAATCTATTTGATTGATGTTTGTGTTCAAAAACTAGTTATTGATCAATAAATATTTTAAGGTAATTGAATTAATCAGAGGCTTGATATTTTGAAGATGTGAAATTTTAACTTTTTGGTTTTTTTTTCTTTTATAAATTGGCAAGTATGTAATTTATCTTCATACGAAATGTAATATCTTAGATTGAATTTATTTATGTACTGAAATAGATTGATTGGTGACCGTACAAAGCACTTCAGATATATTTCCAGAATCTATTATTCTGTTGATTTCGTTTTTTGAAAAAAATCAATACTGATTATTATTTCTGTTTTTCATTTTGGAATTCAATTTGACCTTTGACCCATTTCACAGGTATAAACCCAGCATGGAAAAAAATATACAAAGGTAACCATGGTAACAGAGAAACTAATTTATAGACGCCTTATACTGAATAACAGCTTTTCTGTACTGAAATATACATTACACTAGTACAATATAGCACTGAGTTAAATAGCTCCTATTTTGGTGTTTGGAACAAAAATACTTATGTTTCACTGTACTAACAGAGAAACTGAAGTCTTATACTGAAGCTTTCCTATGCTGAAGTATATAGATACAATATACTACTGAGTTAAGTAGTCCTATTTCAGAGCCTTTAACAATGACACAATGATGTAAATTAGTCAAATTCGCTTCACTGCAATACGATTGTTATCATTTAAATTGTTTTAATTATAAAACTGCATATGTCTGATTTCTTGATAAATATTTGTGCTGAAATGCTGATAGATTTCAGAAGCATTTTCTGACCATTTGAATGAATAGTTTTAGTTATCCACATAATATCCAGTGTCAATGTCTTTTGGGTTTTTTATGAGTGCCAGTGAACTTTGTAGATACTAAAAGTTTAACTGAACCAATCTGATTTAGTGTAAATGATATTGATATCAAAAGTTTTACAGAACTAACCAGATTTGGTGTACATCATATTGATACTAATTTAACTGAACTAATCAGAATTCCTGTAAATGATATTGATATTAAAAGTTTTACAGAAATAACCATATTTAGTGTAAATTATATCAATGTATCAAGGTTTATGGTAATTTATCATTTAATGAAAAGGAACAAGATACAGTTAGATTTTATAACTTTAATTGATATTAATGTTTTGGAGATATAAATATTTAATCTTTAGCTAAATGTATTCAAAAAACAAAACTTCATTGTTTATTTTGTTTGTAACTCAGTCCAAAATAAAATCTAGAATTCCTCATTAATTGATTTTCAAGATTTCCACTCAGTTTGAAAGATAATTTAATGACTTGATGTAATGAATAATAAAAATCAAGGGAGATAATTCGAACATAAATGAATTGCAAAGGTCTGAATAACACTGGCCATGACAAAAAAAAATCCAAAAAGACAAATAAAAGCTATTAATAAATAAATAAAGGTATTTCTCAAAGAATATTAAGCAGGGTTTGTAAGTGAAGTGAATTTGGCTTATATTTGCTCTTATTCAGTGTGAAAAATAGATATTCTTTTCAAGAACAGAAAATAGTGTGTTTTTGTAGCTGAGTTTGTGTGGAATTAAACTTCAAATATAAGAGGATCAATGTGGTAAAATTTCAGTTCAGACAATGGTCATGTCATTATAAGACTGTTTACAGTGTACAGTAATTACTGACAGTGCATACACAATACTGATAGTACATAGAGAATATTGACAGTTCATAAACAATACTGATAGTACATAGAGAATATTGACAGTTCATACACAATACTGATAGTACATAGAGAATATTGACAGTTCATAAACAATACTGACAGTATAAACAGGATATTGACAGTTCATACACAATACTGATAGTACATAGAGAATATTGACAGTTCATACACAATACTGATAGTACATAGAGAATATTGACAGTTCATAAACAATACTGACAGTATAAACAGGATATTGACAGTTCATACACAATACTGATAGTACATAGAGAATATTGACAGTTCATAAACAATACTGACAGTATAAACAGGATATTGAGAGTTTATTCAGAATACTGACAGAACAAACAGAATACTGACAACACATACAAAATACTGACAGTACAAATAAGATATTGATTGTACATGCATACGGAATATATTGACAATACAAAAGGAATGATTTCAATACAAAGAATTTTGACTGGATATACAAAATACTAACAGGATATTGCCAGTACATACAGAATATTAACAGCACAGACAGAATATAGACAGTATATGTGGATTAGTGACAGTAAAAACAGAATATTGACAGCACATTTGAAATATTGCCTGTGCACTTAAAATATTGATAGTACATGCTTAGTGTGATGGTACTTTGACAATACAGATTACTGACAGTAGATATAACATTTTGACAAGATAGACACAAACCCATACATAAAGTAGGTAGTAGATGAAGAGTGCGTGTGATGTGAACTTTGTGCTGTATCTCTATATTGGCGTTCCGTTTTGATATGATCCCCTCCCTTAATTGATTGATGTTGTATAGATTAACATATGATTTTTCCCTTTTTTTTTCGGTTGTTATGTACTTAAATGTACCAGTATGACCTTGAAATGACCTTGATAAACATTTTGCTGCTGCGCCTTACCACCCCTGCTCGATTGGTTGACAATTCAAAGTTGCACACCTGCCCGCAGCCATCAGAGTTATCCCCCTTTTACGTATTCTTCTGCCACATTTCAGTCAATATTATTATTACTCCTATGTATGATGTCCACCTGTATATCTCTCTATATACATTATATATATACAATATACATATTTCTGCTTGCGCCCGCATTTCCAATTCCCCCGTTTATTTATACCATGCATACCTCAAAATCAAATTTTACCCTGACAAATCCCTGCGTCAACCCTGCGTAACCTCATTCTTGCATCTTGCATCAAACATACTTACCAACCTCGTCCTATGCATCATGACCTATTTTATATTAAAATTTTATATATAATATTTCAAATATATGAATAAAATAATCATTTTGTGGAATTTGGTATGAAAATGTAATGTAAAATTTTAATGTTTGTATAAATTTCATGGTTGTATAAAGATTTTTTCAATATGATGTTTAAATTAAGATTTGCAATCATTTGTCATATCTAATATGCACATATTTATAATTACCCGTATCCAAGCACAATTTTCTTTGTCTTCCTGAAATTCAAAATGTTTCTTTTTTTCTGCTATTGCATGTAACTTTCACTTTGACCTTAACCCTCTCTTTCTTACATGTTGATAAATTAACTTGTTCTTCATGTTTTGAAATAAATTTGTTGTCAAACCTGTATTATTAAGTTATTTCAATAAAATTTTAAAACAATTCAGAAATAAGGTACAAAGTTAACAACATTCTGTTGTTTGGGTTTACTTATATTTTGATAAACAGCTTCAAAAAGTTTCTTCTCTTTCTTGATATTTTTTATATGTTGGAAAATTGAAATTATTAAATGTGAAAAGTTCATTTTCATTTTCAATAATACAGGTTCCGAAGAGAAAATAAATTCTTTAGAAAACATTTCTTCTGTAAGACATTCATGTCAATTTCAGGAAGACTTTGAAAAGAAATTGATTCTATATATCAGATTTCATAATCAAATGATAGGTCAAAGGTAATTCATTATATGTTGGATGTAAATTGTTTATGTGACATATCTCTTTTGTGTTGAATTCTCCGTGTTGTTTTAACTCCTCCAATTAGCCTTTGATTGGAAAGGTAATTAACATAAAGATAAGTAAGTCTATTTTAATTGATTAATTATATTTCATAGAGCAGAATGAATTGGTAATATAAATCTGAGATAATTTCATTGTCGTCAGAAAATTTTGATAATCTACTGTGGTGCTGTTTGTTCTGACAATGAGCTGAAGGCAAGTTCATAAGTCAATATTAATTTGCATCGTTTACAAAAATTTAGAGTAACATTAAAAGGATTAAAACATCAAGCATTTGTGATGAGACGTATATGCAAATACGAAGTTTAATTCTGAATCAATTATTTGTTTTTATATAAAATAAAATTTATTTTGTTTGATGATATTTTCCTTTGTATGAAATTTCCTAGAACTTTTTTTTAAGTATTTGAAATGTTTCGAGAACGAAAAATTCGGCAAACTTAATCTTGATGTTTTTGTTTGTGTTCTACAAATATTTATTTATTTTGAAAGAAAATAATAATTTTCCTTAAACTTTGATATACAAACTGATGTTTTCTGAAACCATTACCTTCATCTTCAAAGTTTGTTTAATTACTATTTACTACATAACATTATGGTGAGACTAAAGATCATTTTGGTAACAAAGTGTATTTCTATTTGTTCAAATATATTCATATTTCACAGTACTAGATTTTTTGTGAAGAATATAATTTTTAGTTGCTCTTTGAAAGATTTCAAATGAAAATGAAAATAAAAACACAAAATTCATCTTCTCATACCACACAGGATAGCACGGCAGAAAGAGTTGCCTCCCTTTGATTAATTTGTAGTTTTGCACTGAATTCCATATGTTAAATTACGCGAAATGTTTAATAAAGTCACTTACCTTTGTACTCTAAAACTGAACCATAATAATCACTTATCATTTTTCAAGTTTACATGCTTGGAATTAATTGTCACAATGTTTTGTAACTAAATCAGTAGTTTCTGCTGTCATGTCTTTTTAGGAATTCCAAATGGCTACCCCAGTATAACAGTTAACCCAGAGCTAAAGGCTGTGGAAAAGGATCGACAGGTGAAGATGCAGTGCGAAGCAATTGCACGCAATGCTGAAGAAATGAGTCGGCCACACATTTTCTGGATCAAAGATTACATTCCTGTTGATATGAGTGATCCAAGAATATCTATTCAGCCCACAGGTATAAACCTAGATAGAGTTAAATCAATACTTAGTAGGAATTAGCCATTAAGCCTTACATATATTTTGTGCTACTGGCAAATACCCATCAAATAAGTGTTGTTGTGAATTTTAGGGGGAAATGTTATTTTAAGATATAAATAACAACTCATTAGAATATGTTTTGTCATGATCATATCACCTGTAAATAATGCATTAGAGAAATTTGACATCAGGTGATTAAGAATCAGAAAAAGATGATTTAATATATGGAGCATTTTTGGAAATTCATTTTCAAAATCAGGTATTTGATATTGTGATAGGGATGTGAGAAAAATATAAATAAAATACTCTTAATTTTTATACATAAATCATTCAAATTTCATAATCCTTATGTGGTATGTATTAGGAAGAGTTATTTCCCTTGGACTGTTGTGTTACTTCTGTATTAGAGAAGAAGGACAACTCTCACTGCCTTCATTAAAGTGTTTGTGTGGTTTTTTCCACAGGTACTCTTTTTATCGAAAGAAGTCAGGAATCAGATGCTGGGAAATATGAATGTGTTGCAGAAAATGAAATTGGAGTCACATATTCATTTGCAGCAAACCTATATGTACGAGGTAAGTGGTCTCTCAAAAAACGATAACCTCATTTCAGTAATCGTCTGTTAGTAGAGGGACACATACTATAACATATATTTTTGCGACAGTTTTAGTTGAAGAATGAAATAAGTTACTCTCCTCTATATATTTAAAACAATATTAGATTTAATTAGTTGGACTGTAAAGAGTTGATAAAACTGTATATGAATTAATGAAACAGGAAGCTAATGGCTTATCAATGTTTACACTTTACCTCTTACTCAAAATAAGGGGGAAGGGGGTATTATAGGACAATCAGCACAGAGATACAACACATTACCTCAGACACAAAGACAAGGGGTGGGGTTATTATAGGACAATCAGCACAGAGTTACAACACATTACCTCAGACACAAAGACAAGGGGTGGGGGTATTATAGGACAATCAGCACAGAGTTACAACACATTACCTCAGACACAAAGACAAGGGGTGGGGGTATTATAGGACAATCAGCACAGAGATACAACACATTACCTCAGACACAAAGACAAGGGGTGGGGGTATTATAGGACAATCAGCAGAGATACAACACATTACCTCAGACACAAAGACAAGATGTGGGGGTATTATAGGACAATCAGCACAGAGTTACAACACATTACCTCAGACACAAAGACAAGGGGTGGGGGTATTATAGGACAATCAGCACAGAGATACAACACATTACCTCAGACACAAAGACAAGGGGTGGGGGTATTATAGGACAATCAGCAGAGATACAACACATTACCTCAGACACAAAGACAAGGGGTGGGGGTATTATAGGACAATCAGCACAGAGTTACAACACATTACCTCAGACACAAAGACAAGGGGTGGGGGTATTATAGGACAATCAGCACAGAGATACAACACATTACCTCAGACACAAAGACAAGGGGTGGGGGTATTATAGGACAATCAGCAGAGATACAACACATTACCTCAGACACAAAGACAAACGGTGGGGGTATTATAGGACAATCAGCAGAGATACAACACATTACCTCAGACACAAAGACAAGGGGTGGGGGTATTATAGGACAATCAGCAGAGATACAACACATTACCTCAGACACAAAGACAAGATGTGGGGGTATTATAGGACAATCAGCACAGAGTTACAACACATTACCTCAGACACAAAGACAAGGGGTGGGGGTATTATAGGACAATCAGCACAGAGATACAACACATTACCTCAGACACAAAGACAAGGGGTGGGGGTATTATAGGACAATCAGCAGAGATACAACACATTACCTCAGACACAAAGACAAGGGGTGGGGGTATTATAGGACAATCAGCACAGAGTTACAACACATTACCTCAGACACAAAGACAAGGGGTGGGGGTATTATAGGACAATCAGCACAGAGATACAACACATTACCTCAGACACAAAGACAAGGGGTGGGGGTATTATAGGACAATCAGCAGAGATACAACACATTACCTCAGACACAAAGACAAGGGGTGGGGGTATTATAGGACAATCAGCACAGAGTTACAACACATTACCTCAGACACAAAGACAAGGGGTGGGGGTATTATAGGACAATCAGCACAGAGATACAACACATTACCTCAGACACAAAGACAAGGGGTGGGGGTATTATAGGACAATCAGCACAGAGATACAACACATTACCTCAGACACAAAGACAAGGGGTGGGGGTATTATAGGACAATCAGCACAGAGTTACAACACATTACCTCAGACACAAAGACAAGGGGTGGGGGTATTAAAGGACAATCAGCACAGAGTTACAACACATTACCTCAGACACAAAGACAAGGGGTGGGGGTATTATAGGACAATCAGCACAGAGTTACAACACATTACCTCAGACACAAAGACAAGGGGTGGGGGTATTATAGGACAATCAGCACAGAGTTACAACACATTACCTCAGACACAAAGACAAGGGGTGGGGGTATTATAGGACAATCAGCACAGAGATACAACACATTACCTCAGACACAAAGACAAGGGGTGGGGGTATTATAGGACAGTGTAACAGTATTAGATAATAGCTCTCAGAACAGCAATGGATAGGGATGGACTTAGTACCAGGCATGGCTTTATTTGAAGGACAATTTACTCCATGTTTATTTGTAATGAAAAATGTTCAGTAATTTCGTGGTATGTTTTTGTGATGAGGAATATTATTCATAATTATGATAAAACAAATACTAAAGGATTTGTTATGTATGTTAATCATACATAATATGTAGATTAACAATTACAAAAATCTAAGAAAAACTTGTCATTACAAATGTACATCTATCATGAAGTTTATTATTCCAATTACAAACTTCATCAAAACGCCCTGCACCTTGCATAAAAAAAAAACAACTTCAAACTGCGTAATACACTATGGTGAAAAACCTGTTTTGATTAAAATTGTAAAAATATAGATATTTGCGTCCATGTGCAAGTGTACATTTATCATAACGACATAACTTTTTATTTTATCTATGTAATTTTTGGTCTCTCTCTAATGTATTATGTAGATTGATTGTTGGAAGTTATCTCCCCACTATCAAAATAATGTTTCATTTTCGGTATAATAGTTTTTATTCCCCAATCACCTCTGATGATTGTGTCAGCCTCCTGCTTGAGTGAAGTTTATCTATTTCTATGAGGTAATGGGAAAGTATCTCTCTCCTTATTACCATATTATCAACAATGTACAAAACGAGATTTTACTGAAGAAATGAAACATTAGTTTTCTACCAAAATATGATAAGATGATGGTGTTGTTATTTTGATGCTATTTGTGGAAGGGGGGACAGAGAAATTAGTGGTATCTAGACTCCAGGAAAATGGATAGAATTAGACATAAATATGATATATATATGTGTGTGTGTGTATATATATATATATATATTCCAAAGAGGATCTCATAACGTTGACTCACATCATGAAACAAGTTTAAAATCAAGGAGAATAAAACTTGAAAAATAAGAAAAACAGAAGAAATTGAAATAAGATCATAATGCTCAGGTCTGATATTTAGGATCAAAGATTCATAATTAAAGCATGAACTAGTTTGTGTGGAAATTAAAATATGAAAAAAAACAGGAAAAGATAAATACGGAAAGACTTTAAAGACCTTTGGATCTGCACCAAAGATGAAATACATAGGTAGATGCAAACTTACTCGAGGAATACTTTTGTAGTTTTTCGATGTGGCAATGAAATTTTAATGAGCTTACTATTGTTAATTATGGTTTGATAGACCCACTCATGGTCTTATCAAGATCAAAAGTACAGTGCACATGCTTTAAAATCCAGCATTTATCTTGGTTTAAGGTTTAGGAGTTGCTCGAAGCAGTTCATGTCCACTGAAAATCAACATCTATTCAATGAATTGTTAACAATTTTATTTTCTTGTTTTCAGTTTATATACATATTGATTTTTGTATGTATAAAAATGTTTGGTTTTCCCCCAAAGTGCCCCATGGTGCCCACCTAGACCTGTAAATAAAGTGTAAAATCAATTAGGCAGATGAAGATACAAATAAAAAAAGAAACACCAAACCATGCTTAATTGAAAACTGTTACTGAATAACAAATTACATGTAACATTAGCTAATTAGTTGTAGAACTTCTTTTGTTTTTTAACGAAATTGGTTTCAGTATCAACAACATTTTCACAATATTTCTCGATAAATTGTTTTTTATTTATACATTTTGTTCATGTTCTGTTTACCAAGTTAGAGAGTGGTTTAAAAGAGGTAGGAAGGAAGGGAGGTGGGCCTGAATAGGAGCTTTATTGAACACCTGTTTTGAGTGCGCCAGACTGTACAGGCAGTGCACCTGTTCTGTGTTTGCTATTTCTCCACACCTTATCCATACATAAAGCTGACTCCCTATCGAGACACCCCCCCCCCCCCCCATCCACTTACACACAAAGTCCCCATACCCACCTCCCCAAAAAACCATCACATAACCTGACTGGGTTACAGGTGCATCATGGGAAAGATCAGCAGTTGCCAAGTAACACTGGATCAGCTGATCAGTTAACTGTGCCAAACCTGATAGGGAGTTGTTGAACTGATAACAGCCCAATACTAATCAGGGCCCATTTTACCAGTTGTCCTTTCCACTCTGAAACTCCCAGTCATCAACCCATCCACTACCCCTACCTCCATCCTCCAGGGATCTACCGTAGTAAACCAGATTATCATCCTCCCACCTCCCTTTCCACATGTTTTTTTCCTTTCCCTAAATCTTGATTATTTGTCTACTCAACACCTACACCAGCAGTCAACCAGGATCCCCCTGTGGTTCCAGGATAACTTTTGTTTTGTTTT